TTTTGTATCCTCCTTAACAGCTGTTTTAATAAAAGTCGTAAGTTCGTATGTCCCTTTCGAGACAAGAGTCGAAGAATTCGAAAATGCTGATACATGTATATCAATTGGAAAAAAGGATCTTGCTCTACAGGATGTCCTGCTTCTCATACATCAGGATTTTGCATCCAAATGGTGTTTCAAAACTTTAAAACGGAATGTTACATGCATTGAACTCTGGAGACTCCTTTCCTTTTCGCAATTGTGAGAGCGGTTCCGCACAAACCTATCTTTCAGAGTAATTTATTTAGAGTGATAATTACGACAATCATATCCATCGCGCAGGATGGATCAGCCTGCAGGATTGGGTAGGCAAAAGATGGAAAGGGTAAAATATATTTTAAAAAAAAGAATATGAATCATTTGATATTCTGTCACAAAAATCATACCTACGTTGAAGATGTAATGATCAATATCTGCAAAGAAAATTTCGCATCAAATACTTAATGAACCACCTTCAGTCAAACCTGTAATATTGATCTCTCAATCGTCTGGCTATCGTAATCTCGCACTAAATACATCTTATGAAGAAAATGTGATCATAACCATCTGTGAGCATCTCAAATAAGTATACAAATCATCGGAAGCGTGAGCCTGTTGGATTCAAAAAAGGAGGTATCAAAAGAGGTCGATTTTGTGCATCTGACATGTGAAGTTGCCTTTGAGAGCGTAAAAACACCCTGTTTATTGGAGTTTTTAGCCACAAAGATTACAAAGTACAATGCTGAAGATCTCGAAACTCTATGCGACTTCGACACTTCTGTTTGTGGATTCACTAGGGAAGAAGCCGTTGAGGCAAGTAATAAGTAAAACGCTCCAAATGCTGAACTTCATATATCATCATTTAGTTCATCGCTTCTAATTCAACAGTTTTTGTCGCAAAAGGTGATGGTGTGATCGATGGTATGATTGCCGGCAAAGGAAGCAGAGTACAGTTTTACAAAGATTTTTTTAATGCATTTTTGTGGTGACTCTGCGATTTGCTCAGATACTCGCACTTTACGCCGAAACGTTAGAGATCGCTCACGCCCTGATCAAGCACTACATCGTCACCAATAAGCTCACTCAAGTATGTCATATAAAAACACTCAACGACAAATGTGTAAAAACAAAATTCTTATTCAGGTCTCCTTTTTCACAAGGGAAGATGTTTGGGAGTGCAAGCCAATGTCCTCTCGGCGTGTTCATCGACGTCACACTAGGACTGTGCCATCTAGCATCAAGTGGAACAAGGTAAGCAGACGTCCGACAACAACTCTTCTTCTGAGTTAAGTTCTCTTTGATTTGGCTTGTTTTGCAGGTCTTCGCATTGAATATGGGATTCCACATTGTGTAAGAAAAGCAAGGCGCATGTCTCAGAGTTTTACATACGTGAATTTTGATTATACCTTAGCGTTTCCGCTAGAATATTGCCCATCAAAAAAGCCTTTCAGAAACCATCTGTCTTCTTGTTGTAATTTGTTCGAAGAGTTATAATTTCCCATATACAACTATATAAATGCATGTTTGTAATTTATTGCGTTAATAATCATGAATACCTCAAGAAGGATGCTTATTATCAGTGTCGTACATTACATATATATCATTGCTTTTATGCGTACAGATTTGAAGGCACCATTCGATACAACAAATGTATCCATTCGTAAAAAGCCATTTGAGAGCTCAAACAAATTCTTATTTGGACCAAACTTAACTCAGGTCACTTCCTGACAAATTTCGCAATGAACAAGGGGACGGAAATGTACGGCGTTATTGGGTCATACATTCTTAGAACAACATCGAAAACAGATGGGAACAATAAAAAACTGGGTAAAATGCGATCGGAATAAAGTGCAAATCTTGCTTTCTTAACCTCTACTAAACATATTGCTTTTCCCTACCGATCGCTTGCTTGATAGAATTAAAATTAATTCAGAAAAATGTAGGTTCTTCCCGAGTATAGGGATTCGTATCTGCGTGGAGAAAGGGGAGGGAAGAGGTTGTATAAAAGGGTTGCCTTTCAAAACTCATGCTTGATTATTCAAAGAGGGAGTTTTTTATCCTGTAAAAAGGGTAATAACTAATTACATATGAAGTAGTTGCCAAATCAAGATTTCAATCTTCCTTAGAGGATATCCTTAAAGGAAAGACTGTTAAGAGTTTAGTTTCGTTTACTCCCCATGCCACTGGCATGAACTCCACCACTGATTTGAGTTGAGGTCTCACTAATGAGCCGAAATGCTTTTTTAGAAGTTTTTGAGAGGTTCCCCCAGCTTCTATGGACGAGAGAACGTGAATGAAAACAATATAACAATCTTTATCGCATTCTCTCTATGAATTGCACTGATATTCGAGATCTTGACATATCTCGAATGTTATGGATGGTAAGCGGTAAGTCACCTATAATCTGGCTGGTTAAGTTCGTAGTGTAAAGTAAATGGTATTTCGCACAACTCACCCTAGAAATCATTAACTTATTTACTTCGAAGAGTTTATTTCTTCACATTTTATCTA